ATAACATGGATGAACCTTGAGGACATTATGTTGAGTGAAATTAGTCAGTCATAAAAGGAGAAATACATAGGACCACTACTGTAAAAGACTAGGAAAAAGAACCCATACTAAAGGGGGGGGAGGATTCTTTGCTGGTTACCAGGGTGGGGTAAGGGTACGGAGGGGACGGTGGAGCATAGGGCAGGGAATAGACACAGGATAGTTTGGGTGCTAGGGAGGAGGGCAATACACAAGAAGGGAGAGGGGAAGGGAAGAACAAATGCGAGAACAATTAGGCAGGTTTGAATGGGCTAAGTGGGACAGAGGTAAGTAATGAAGTATGCACAACCTTGGAATAACATGGCTCTGGGATACAGGGATTGAGACATGGTTGGAATGGGGAAAAGGGGGGAAATAATGTTAAGATGCTTGGCTCTCTTTTGAAGCTTGGTTTCCCTGGCATACCAATATAAAATTGACACTTGATGGGGAGACAAAGGAATAGCCAGAAATATCACCATAGAAAGCTTGTTAAGTCCGTCTTCTGCCTAAAATGGAATACCTAAAATGGGGCTACAACGCGCCCAGTGAAGGACGCTTCCTGTGGAGCCTCTGCATTACGTAGGACCATTGGTGGAATCCTGAACAGCATCCAGAATCTTGAGGTGAAAAATTTCCACTTGAAAGGACAAGCAGACCAGCCTGGAGCTGCTAGAAGAACAGAAGATACTTCTTTTTTTTTTTTTTTATTTTAAGATTATAACGTATTTTTGTTAAAAGTTTACTCAGCAAGGATGTTTCTCATTTGACCAATTTTACACATGATGATAAATTACATTGGAGATTTCACAATGTGTCAACATTCTTTTGTCTCCGGTGACCTGGGTACCTTGCCACTGTATCTTCTGATCTTTCCTCAGGAGGAAATGGTACTCACTGGGTCACAGGTTCTGTTGTGAAGTGACCTTGTATAGGGTTTCTGGGAGTCCTGGTGTGGCACTTATTGCACTGCAAAGCCCATTTGAACCGCAAGTTCAGTGATTCAAGGACACCAGCCGCTCCTCGGAAACCCTGTACAGGGTTGCTATGGATCAGAACTGACTCAGTGGCACTTAAGAATGACCTAGGGTTTCTGAGGAGCTACTGGTGAGTTTGAATTGCCGACCTTGAGGTTCAAACTGAACTTATAGTCAATTGTTCACCCTTGAATGAAATGAAATATGATAGGATGAATGTAGAGATGATGTTCTGCCACGTATACTATCACTCAGTTCACAATAAAAACTTGGAAAAAAAAAATGAGACCATCCAGGAAGTGAAGGTCGATGGAAAAGAAAAGAGGCCCCCAAACTGGGTGCTCTCTGATGCTAGGAATCCCAGGAGAGCCGGGAGCATAGGTGTCCAGAGGAGCAACAGGGAAGTGGGCACTCAACTACGTCAAATGCTGCGGGAAGGTTTCCTTGGAGGAGTCCTGAGAGCTGGCCACTGGGTAGAGCACTATGGAGGCTACTGGTGAAATGATAAGACCCATGCTGATGGGTGGGGAGCGCCTGCCTGACTGAAGTGGGTTTAAGAATGAACAGGAGAGAAATTGGGTGAAGTCAATTTTTAGGAGGAGAGAAGTGGAAAGGTTGTTGAAAACACATTTGGGGACCAGATAGTTGCTTTGTTTTGTTTTTAGGAGAGGTAAAATAACTGATGATAATCCAGTGAGAACTGGTAAAGGGAGGTCCCTGATAACTGGGTTGGGCTGGGATCCAGCATATGGCTGTGGGGGGGCGGGTAGGACATGGTAGGAGCCATCTGTCTTGAGTAATGATGGGAATGCAGTGTTGGAGGGCACATGCAAGTGGGTGAACGAGCAGGTCTCTCTGACACAGAAGATATTTCTTGACAGAAAAGACCGACATGAAAAATATAAAACAATATAGGCAGACCGACTGATTACTATAAGAACAAGCAAGTTGTTCACCCAGGAGACATCAAGGCAAGTGGTTGAATACCCTCAGGGCAAACCCCCTTCTAAGACTAAGACTCAATGGGAATACATGCTCTGATTGGTGACCACATTCGTCACCGATAAGGGGAAGTGAGGGAAAAACAGCAATGAAGCTGTGAGCTAAGCCCTAAAACGCTCAATAGACTCCTGTGAATTCGGGTAGAGACCTGGCAGCAGTGTGGCAAGACCTGGGAACTCGTGGGTCCAGAGTCCATGACATAGCCACAGAGGACTAGAGTGGAGAGTGAAGCGTCCAGCTGATAAGAAGGGAGGGCATATGCACAAGAATACCCACACTTGCAGATAATACCACTTGACCTGGCTTCAATGACTGGGAGATAAGAGCTCAACTAGAAGAAGAAAGAAGAGGAAAAAAAGAGTAATCTGATACAATTTGATGAACTTGACCTATACCTATGGATGCAGTAGCTCAAAAGAGGGAAGAGATCTTTATAGTGAGGATTATTCCCACCCCCTCCATACACAGAGTAGATAGGGATGGGCAACTTGGACATTGGCTACCCAAAATGGAGGGACTACAAAGGCAAGAAGTGACTGGCTTACAAGCTTTCAAGAGGGAACCTAGATCCAGAGAGTGTGAAGGAAGGTAGAATCTCCACTGAGTAGTATCCAATCTGTCTAGGCGGGCTAATGAAAGGAGATGTGGATAGGTCTCTTGTGATACAATAGTGAATAATTGTTATCAGGACTTCTTGTGAGGGTTGGAAATGAATGTAAAGGTAGATGTTTTGTAGCAAGGATGGGAGTGATTAACTTTGCAGTCTAGGAGCGGAGGTCCCTGGGACCATCAAGGGAGAAGAGCGGAGAGCGGGACCGTACCCAGGGAAGCAGTGATGCCAGATGGAGGCAGAAACAATGACGTGGTTCACAGCCTGATTCGTAACCAGTGCTGAGGGTTAATGTGCCAGACTGTAAAGCCATTTGAACTGCAAGGTCAACGGTTCAAGCTCACAAGCTGCTCCTCGGAAACCCTAAACAGGGTCACTATGGGTCGGAATCAACTCGATGGCACTTAACAACAACAACAACAATGAAGGTAGTAATAACTGGTATTCCTGCAGTGCAACTATTTGTTGGCTTGGAACAATTCCATTATAGAGAGATTTAGAATAAATAAAACGACCCTAACTATTATTATTGTTTCACCCTCTAAATGTGCTCAGTATAGTGGAAACACAGATGAGTGTCCCAGGCTGTTATACCCTGACAAGCCTCTCCAAGTTCTAGTTTCCTCACAGGACAGGCAAAATGGGGATGTGTGTGTATACATGTATGCGTGTACATATATCCATACTTATGGAGTGCGGTAGCTTCATACAATAAGCACTGAACTGCAAACCATAAGGTCAGCTGTTTGAGCCCACCA